CAGCAGCTTAAGCGCGAACACGACAGCAATGTATTAGCTATGTTATGTATGCGAGTATGTCGGTATATATTTACATATGTAATAACGACAACGGCGAATTTGATGAGAACAACGAGAGCAAGCAACAAACGAAAACTGCCGACGGTTGGCTGAGATTGACGTGGGGGGGGATGCCGTATGTAAAAGTGGCTATGTATATTTATGTATGTATGTATGTATAACAAAATCAAACGACAATAAATTGGCACTTTAAATAATTGCCTATAGCGGTTCACTTTTATTTAATATTAGTACGACATGCGATTTATATTTGTGTTAATTATGCTCAACTATCTACCGTATTATATTATGGTCACGTATGTGCCAAAGGTTGAAAGTTGAAGGCCGAAATAAGCAATTCGCTGGTTAAATTCCACTTTCAAACTTTAGCACAGTACCTGTGAAGTCGACTTTGGCTCAGGAACTTCCCTTTGGTCGACTTGACTCATCCTCCAATAATCCAGTTGACGTGACAGCAACACACACACTCCCCAGTGCAGCAACAACAACACGACCGACGCGGTTCCGCACAAATTAAAGTTTTTAATTTAAAAAAAAAAACAAGCAAGTCCCTGCTCGGGCGCCAATGAAAATTTATATGATTTTATATAAATTATTAAAAACAAAGAAAATGGGATGCTTGCTTTTAACGACTTTTATGCGGAGAAATGCGAACGATTTGGCGACAATTGTGCTTATATTTAGTTCTATTTTACAACTGACTTCAAATTAGGCTTACATGCTAAACTAAGCCTAAGGCGGCGAAAAAAGGGCGCGAGGCGACGTCCGCAAACGGCCGCTCTCGCGCTCTCTTTTCGCCCTAAACTAAAATTCAAATAATTCTCTTAAACTATCTTAATCTAAAGCAGCATCTGCGCCAACACTTACTTTTCTTCAATATGAGGCCTCACTTCATTAAAATAGATTCCGAAGGAAAGGAATATTTCAATTATAATCATAAATAAATGCACTCCAATCGATTTTGTAAAAATTCTGTAAATAAATTAATTCAGCAAATATTAGAGGAGTCACTAGGACTACAACACTAATTATACTTACTTTTCTTCAATATGAAGCCTCACCACATTAAAATAGATTCCGAAGGAAAGGAATATTTCATTTATAATCATAAATAAATGCACTATAAATATGATTCATCCTTAAGAATCGAATTTATAAAAAACCTGTAAATAAATTAATTCAACAAATATTAGAGGAGTCACTAGGACTACAACTCTAAATATACTTACTTTTCTTCAATATGAGGCCTCACTTCATTAAAATAGATTCCGAAGGAAAGGAATATTTCATTTATAATCATAAATAAATGCACTATAAATATGATTCATCCTTAAGAATCGAATTCATAAAAAACCTGTAAATAAATTAATTCAACAAATATTAGAGGAGTCACTAGGACTACAACTCTAATTATACTTACTTTTCCTCCTTCAGAAGCCTCATCTCATTAAAAATAGATTCCGAATGAAAGGAATATTTCATTTATAATCATAAATAAATGCACTATAAATACGATTCATCCTTAAGAATCGAATTCATAAAAAGCCTGTAAATAAATATACTTAACGAATATTAGATGAGTTACTAGGACTACAACGCTAATTATACTTACATTCCTCAATATGAGGGCTCACCTCATTAAAATAGATTCCAAAGTAAAGAAATATTTCATTTATAATCAAAAATAAATGCACTACAATTTCGATTCATCCTTAAGAATTGATTTTGTAAAAAAACTGAAAATAAATTAATTCAATAAATATACGAGGAGTCACTAGGACTACAACTCTAATTATACTTACTTTTCTTCAATATGAGGCCTCACTTCATTAAAAATAGATTCCGAAGGAAAGGAATATTTCATTTATAATCATAAATAAATGCACTATAAATATGATTCATCCTTAAGAATCGAATTCATAAAAAACCTGTAAATAAATTAATTCAGCAAATATTAGAGGAGTCACTAGGACTACAAGACTAATTATACTTACTTTTCTTCAATATGAGGCCTCACTTCATTAAAAATAGATTCCGAAGGAAAGGAATATTTCATTTATAATCAAATATAAATGCACTATAAATTCAATTCATCCTTAAGAATCGAATTTATAAAAAATCTGTAAATAAATAAACTTAACAAATATTAGAGGAGTCACTGGGACTACAACTCTAATTATACTTACTTTTCTTCAATATGAGGCCTCACTTCATTAAAATAGATTCCGAAGGAAAGGAATATTTCAATTATAATCATAAATAAATGCACTGCAATCGATTTTGTAAAAATTCTGTAAATAAATTAATTCAGCAAATATTAGAGGAGTCACTAGGACTACAACACTTATTATACTTACTTTTCTTCAATATGAGGCCTCACCTCATTAAAATAGATTCCGAAGGAAAGGAATATTTCATTTATAATCATAAATAAATGCACTATAAATATGATTCATCCTTAAGAATCGAATTTATAAAAAACCTGTAAATAAATTAATTCAACAAATATTAGAGGATTCACTAGGACTACAACTCTAATTATACTTACTTTTCTTCAATATGAGGCCTCACTTCATTAAAATAGATTCCGAAGGAAAGGAATATTTCATTTATAATCATAAATAAATGCACTATAAATATGATTCATCCTTAAGAATCGAATTCATAAAAAACCTGTAAATAAATTAATTCAACAAATATTAGAGGAGTCACTAGGACTACAACTCTAATTATACTTACTTTTCTTCAATATGAGGCCTCACTTCATTAAAATAGATTCCGAAGGAAAGGAATATTTCATTTATAATCATAAATAAATGCACTGCAATCGATTTTGTAAAAATTCTGTAAATAAATAAATTCAGCAAATGTAGGGATCTTTAGTGAGTTCCCTACGAGTGAGTAAAAATCTGCTCCAGAAACTCCGTTGAGTAATAAGTACACCACACGTCGTCGTTTTAATCAATTGAGTACAATATTTATTCATGTGCAAATTAAATCAAATTAAATTAAAGTTTATTCATAACTTGTTCACAACGTCTGCTCGCTTCCGAAGTCAAACTCTTACTGCTAAAACGATATACTTTCTTAGACTACCCTGGACTGACCACCCCGATAGTCCGATGATTATCTGCTGGTTCAAGAGCTGCCAACCCTACATTCGGCCGTCCTGATTCATTATTCGACCCGAATGATGGAGACCACATTTTCATATACTCTGCCAGCGTATTGGTCTTTAATGGTCCTTCACCATCACCCACTTTCTCAACAATGTACCGGCCATGTCTTAGTTTACGCGTCACAACATAAGGACCCAAGAATTTTCCCTTCAGCTTCAATCCGGCGCCAAATTGGGTACGCTTGATAGCGACCATATCATTGACTTGGTACTCTTTTTCTGGCTTTCGGGACTTGTTGAATAACTTGCGATTTTCATCTTGTATTTGTGCTATGTTCTCTTTAGCTGTCTTGCGAATATCTTCTTTCTCCTGCTGCAACTGCAAAATATACTCTTCCTCTACAAGCTTTTCTATATCACTGTCATACTTGGTTCTCATTTGTATGCCTGTCAGAATCTTAAATGGAGATATCTTAGTACTTCTCGGAGGAGTGGAATTTATAAACGATTGTACCCTACCTACATGCTTGTACCAGGCTTTCGGATCCTCTGCGCAAAGTTTGGTTAACATAGTAGTGACCACCCTATTAATTCGCTCCACCTGTCCATTACCACGCGGCACTCCTGTCGCTATCAGCAAATGTTGGATACTCTGTTCCTTACAATATTCCTCAAACACGTGTGCAGTAAATGCGGTACCTCTATCGGTGATCACGCGCTTTGGGTTTCCAAATACTTCGCCCTGTTTCTGCAACTTGTCAACCACCTCATCGGCGCCTGTACTCTTTGTTGGATAAAGCCAAACAAATTTAGAAAAAGCTGTAAAGAAGTTTTATTTCCAGCTGGGGTATAACTCAGCTGTCCAGGGTTCATTACAAGAAAATTTATAATTGTGACGGGACCATGCGACAAGAGGGACTCGATGCACACTGTAGGGTGTCAGTCGCCTTGCGGCCGGTAGTTTTGGCGTTATGTCTGCATGCTCATGCGCTGCAAACTAACCTCCAAAACTCCGTTGGTCGAGTGGACTATTTCATCTATCGCGGTTCATACACGCTATACATGAAATAGGCCCACTGTAGCCGCTGGTGCTGGAGAATGCGGGGCGGACTAGGGCTCGTTTTGACGTTATATTGCCGGCTCATACGCAACAATATAACAATCAACACTTGTTCGCTTTTTCAGTCACAACTTACATATATTCGGACTCGAGCCTGGTATATATGTAAGTTGCGCTCATAGCGTGGGCGGATTTCTTAAATATTCTTAAGATTGCCTTTTATTCGGGATTTCGCTGCCATTGGCCCTACATTGCACCACGTTTATTGGCTGATTTCCAAAACTTACGTGGATTTGATCCTATGTCTCGCTGCTAACACACGTCTGGTCGTCTTGATGGTCGCCGAAGAAGAGAGCGAGCTTCCGTTTTCGTTTGCCCTTCTCGCCTTCGTTCGTGTGACCTAATTCTCTTTTTCTAAAATCCCTATACACGCGTGGGCGGTGATGCCAGCTCGTTTATTCTTCCCCTATTCAAAAGATCTTTGCTGCGTAACCCTTTCTGTATGTAGTGTGGTGAAATATAATTGAAACTTACATCTAGTAGCATAGAAACTTCAATGTGAAACCTTAGATCTAATAACAGTAGTGGAACCTTAAGACTAGTAACAAAATTGGCACTATTCAAAACCGTGCAAGAAATGATACAAATAGAAAAATCTTAGAGCTAATACAATTTGTGACGCAGAATTTTACTGCGTTACATCCTCTCCTTTCTTCGGGGGGTCAAATGGATCAACACCCTCCGAGTCTTCGTCCGTTCCACTTGGAATCGTTGCCCGTCCAGTTCTTTGGAGTAACGGGCCCGGGTGCGCTTGTGCATCCCTGACATGACGTCCTCGACCAGGGCCTGGGGTATTTTCCGGTCCTTCGTGTCGACCTTCCATCCCGTCGGTGCCACAACCCACTCTGCTGGTGCTGCTTCGCTGGTGGTCGCGTTGGTCGGGGCTCGTGAGTACCGCCGACGAAAGAGGGGACGGTTGTCCTCTTCGTCCGATGTTGCCGGCTCCCAGGTAGGCCGTTGGACAGTCTCGGGTGAGGTGTTCCGCCTTGGTTGACGCTGGGAACTGTCGTTGCGGTTGTTCCGCGTGTAGTTTGCCGCTTCTGGTTGTCGGTTGCTGGTCCGGTCATCGGTGGTCGCTTCCAGCTCGACGCGCATGCATCGAGCCTCCTCACGACCCCTGAGTGCTTGCCGTGACTCTCTCGGTACGTTGAACATTGAACTCATCGTCTCTCCCGGGGGTAGGAAGATATCCACAGTAGTGGTGGTGTTGCGGGTCACTCGGGCACCATAGGGAGTGGTGATGTGCTGGTAGTTTTCGGCGGATGCTACCACTTCCTGGTAATAGACTTGCTCGTCGTCGCTGCTGGACTCGCTGGCCGGACTGGCTGTGTAATGCTCCAGCTCAGTCTGCGGCTCGGCGGGCTTGTATACCCCTCGTCCGCTCCTTGGGTCGCGTCGGGGTTCCGGCTTTGGTGACCTGGAGTAGGAGCCGCCGTCTTGATGGCCCTGGAACCGTGGCGGATATGTGGGGCCTCGAAAGCCGCGGTGAGGTGGTGCGTCCTCGTCGTACACCTCGCGCACATTGTCGGGATAGTGCCGTTCCGGTGGGGTGTCGCTTTCCGAGCTGGGAGGTGGTGGTGACTCTTGCCAGTCCCACTCATCCCGCTGCAGTGTTGTCCTGAATCGTTCGTCGGGCTGGCCGTCGTCGTTCTCCGGCTCGGATGAGGATAGCCACTCGTTGTCGTGAGCGCTGCTGGCTGGGGACGGGTCATCTGGTGACTGGTCGTCGTCGTTCTCTGGCTCCGATGAGGACAGCCACTCGTTGTTGGGAGCGCTGCTGGCTGGGGACGGGTCATCTGGTGACTGGCCGTCCTGGTCTTGGGGAAGGTATGGGGACGTAGACTTGTCGTCCTCCCAATCCTGCTCCGGCGACGATTGCCACGCACTGCTTCCAGTATTTCTCTCCATCTTGGCTTAACGAAAGTTGTTCTTGCTGTGGAAGATAAAATTTCTTGTTAATAACTTTGTTTTTGCAGGTTTTTATTCCGCTTTAGAGGTGTGGCTTGCGCGTAAGGTAAACTAGTGTGAGTGTGGGGTCTCTGGCTAATACCCCTTATTATCTAATTTACTCGTCCAAGTAAGTGCGCCATGTCTTCTGGCTCATACTCAGGAAGTGGGTCACTACTTGTGCTTGGCGAGTGCTCTCTTGGTTAATCCTGAGGGTTGTGGGTAGCCTCGAGGATGTCTGTGTCGTCGTCGTCGTTGTTCGCTGCATCAGTGTGGTACTCTTTTAGGTCGGCCACGTTGGCAACTTGTCTCCTCCGGCTTCCCACACGTTGGATGCGCACGACGTATGTGGATACGAACTTGACCACCTTGAATGGTCCGTCGTATTTCGGTGCTAGTTTTGCAGCAAGTCCTTCGGCAGCTTTCGAAAGGTGATGCTGTCGAAGTAAGACAAGGGATCCCAGTTTCGGTCTCCATTCTCTGCGGCGTAAATTGTAGTGGCGTTGTTGATCTTGCGTGGCTCGTTGCATGTTGGACTGTGCTATGGCGAATATCTCCCTCAAACGGGCTGCTTTCTCGGCAGGCGTTTGAGATTCGCTTCCAGTGGCTGGCGTCACCTCGTCGTATAGTGCGCTTGGGAGTCTTGGCTCTCGCCCTTGTACTACGAAGGCTGGACTGAAACCAGTAGAGTCTGAGACGCTGGAGTTGATGGCCAGAGTAATCTCCGGCAGCAACTCGTCCCAGGTGTTCTGATCGCCGTTGATGAACTGCGATATCATCGTTTTGATTGTCCGATTGCCCTTTCTGTTGGGTTCTCCTGGGGGCAGTACGGTGCTGTATGCTGGACGTCGACTCCCCATTCCTTTAGGCAGTTCTTGAATATCCGACTCGTGAACTGTGTGCCGTTATCGCACACGAAGAGTTTTGGGACTCCAAACCTGCTGAGGACTCGTTCTCTAAATGCTCGTACCAGATGGGTGGCAGTGGCCTTTTTAAGGGGGACCAATTCGACCCATTTCGAGAACAAATCGAAGAAAACGAGTAGTGTAGTGTTACCGTGCTTGGATCTGGGTAGAGGTCCGACAAAATCAGCGCATAGTGTCGTGAATGGCTCATCGACTTGCCTCGTGAGCATTCTTCCTGCTGGCTTCTGTTGATTGACCTTAAATCGTTGGCAGCTTTCACATTTCTGAACATGACGTCGGGCGTCTCGATACATCCCTGGCCAGTAGTACCGCTGGGATAACCTGATGATCGTCTTGCGGATGCCTTGATGACCCGCTGTTGGAGCGTCATGGCACTCTTCCAGAACACGACGACGATGATTCCTAGGGACACAGAGCTTCCACGGGACGTAATCGTCGTCGTTTGGCCTGTGACCCAGGTTTCGGTACAGTTGTCCATTTTCCAGGGTGTACTCCGAGAACTTCTGTGGATCTTCCTGTACTTGCTTGATCTTGTTCGTAATCCACGGGCAAGATGATTCTCCTTCTGCGTCAATTCGATACATGTTTTCCAGAGGCTGTCTGGAGAGTGCGTCGGCCACGACGTTTTGCTTTCCGGCTCTGTAGCGAATGTCGAATTGATATTGTTGCAATTCCAGCGCCCATCGTGCAACTCTTCCTAGGGGACTCTCGAGTGTATTTAGCCACTTGAGTGCCAAGTGATCGGTCACCACCTCGAATCGGTAGCCCTCCAGGTAGCACCTCAGCTTCCGGATTGCCCAAATCACAGCTAGACATTCCTTGTCGGTAGCAGAGTAATTCTGCTCAGCTTTGCTCAGTCTGCGACTGATGTATGAAATGACCCGCTCCTGCCCATCGATCTCCTGCGTTAATACCGCACCGATCCCGAGATTGCTAGCGTCCGTTTGTAGTACGAACTTGTGGTTAAAATCCGGGCATGCTAACACTGGAGCTGTGGTGAGTAAAGATTTCAAATTATTAAAAGCTGTTTGCTGTTCTTCGCCCCACCGCCAGACTCTTCCCTTTTTGAGTAGTTGGGACATTGGCTGCACGACTGCAGCGAAGTTTGGCACGAATCTGCGATACCAGGATGCCATCCCAATACATTGGCGAAGTTCCTTCAAGTTCGTTGGAGGCTCCAGGTTTCGTACAGCAGAAACTTTGTCAGGATCCGTGTGAATGCCCTGGTTGCTGACCAAATGGCCCAAGTATTTCAATCTCTGTTGGAAGAACGTGCATTTCTCTGGATTGATTCTGAGATTTGCCTGACGTAGTCGTCTGAAGACCTCGCGCAAATTTCTGATGTGGTCATCAAAGTCCTTGCCGATGATAATGACGTCATCCATATAGGCGAAAGCGTTGGGTTCCATGTCTGTGCCCAGGACTGTGTCGAGAGTGCGTTGAAACGTAGCAGGCGCCGAGTGTAGTCCAAATGGCATGACACGCCACTGGAATAGACCCCGACCCGGTACAGTGAACGCTGTACATTCACGGCTGTCATCAGCCATGGGTATTTGCCAATAGCCATTCTTCAAGTCCAGTGTGGTTATAAACTTTGCGTTGCGTAGTCGCTCCAGTATGTGGTTAATGCGCGGCAGAGGGTACGCATCAGGAATTGAACGTTCATTGAGTTGCCGGTAATCCACACACATACGCCACTTGCCATTCTTTTTCCGAACAAGCACAATGGGAGCGCTGTGTGGGCTCCGAGAAGGCTCTATTAATCCTTGCTCCAAGAGTTCATCCACTTGTTCATTGATTATACGTTGCATGGCCGGATTTCTTGGGAAGTATCGCTGCTTGATTGGGCGATTATCTCTCATGACGATCGAGTGCTTCGCCATATGCGTGACTTTGTGTCAAATCTTGGTAGCTCCTCGTCTAGGAACTGTTGAGCTTTGAGCTGTATGTCCCGTGGCCATGGTTCTGCCGGTTCTCGTTGTAACACCGAGTCGTAATCTGGTTCCTCGGGTTCTTCAGCCAATTCAGTGACGTCGAAGGGGCTGGCCTGCGTAGTCGTGGTCGTTGAGGGACTCTGTGGTTCCTTGTTCTCCTCATTGTCATCTTCATGCTGTTGACAACACCTCTCTATGGCCTGCCGGCTAGTGACGGGTACGCTTGTATTCTTGGCTGGTGCAGGGCGCGGCGATGTGACCTTGGTTGTGCTTCTTCTCCGGCTAGTGGGTAGATCAGGATTCTCGTTGTGCATAGGGGTTTCTGGTTCGCCTGGTCCAAGTTTCAGGCAAACGGTCCCGCATTGTATCATCGTGCCAATAGTCTGTAGGAAATCGATACCTAGGATAACGGGGTCGAGCATGTTGGGCATAACCAGGAATGTCATGCGAACAGTGCGATTGTCCAGGCGTACGCTCGTGTGTAAGGCTCTGCTTATCTCGCATCTGGAACCATCGGCGAGCCGAATGTTCGTGCTGGCGCTGCGGATTTCGTCCTGTCGAGCCACCGTATCAAAGCACGTTTCGCTGATGAAACTGCGAGTTGCCCCGGTGTCTATTGTGGCAACTATGCTTTGACCGCTTATCTGAACTCTGGCCACAATGCGTCCTTCGCACATATACATCTGGCTATCTAGGCTGGGGGTGTTGCTTGCGCTGTCTCCGCTGGGTTCCCAGTCAAGCGGAGACGCTGCTCGTTTCCCGATGCTCGCTGTGGGCAACAGGCAAGGGTTCGCACGCCTCGCCGTCCACATTCCCAGCAGAACAGTACCCGTCTGTTACGGCACTGATCCTGGAAATGGCCCTGCTGGCCACAGTTCCTGCATGCTCGTCGAGCGTCGCCCGGAACATGCGAGTCCTGTGTCATCATTTGGTTCGCTGCGTCTCGACTGCCACCTTGCCGCATTCCCGGCACCGCCAACGTCATCGTCGGTGGTTCCAGCCGCGGCATCGGTCGTTGTCGGAACGGATTGCGTGGCGTCTCGAATGTTGTTGGTCTCGTGTTTCCGTAGCGGCCATCTGTTGCAGCGGTAGGCGTATGCGCCCTGCTCGGTGAAGTGTTGGCGAAGGGTGCGGCCATGGGCGTGCGCCTCTGACCACGCTGCTTGACACTCTCCAACTCTCCAATGAGTTGGATAAGATGAGGCAGCGTCCGGAATTCATGGCGGCGTACATATAACTGAAATTCTGGCAAAGTGTTTTCATAAATACGATCTAGTTCTTGGGCCTCGGTGTACCCGGCATGATGCATGAGTGCTCGCAGCTCTACGACAAAATCTTTAAAATTTTCCCCCTCTACTTGGAAGCGAGTTCTTATCTCGTCTTCTAGCCGCTGAAAATACTTGGAGGGCAGAAAAAATTCTAGAAATTCTTTTCGAAAGGTTTCCCATGTTGCATTCTGGAGTCGGCTTGTGCGGAACCAGAGTGCAGCTTTCTCAGTTAGAACCTCCGGCATGGCGCGCGGCAGGTCGTCGAACTCGATGTCGTAGGAAACAGCCCGTTCTTCGAGTTGTTCTATAAATGCCAGTGGGTCTGTGCACCCGTTAAAACGAAGTCCCCATTTTCTTATGCGCTCTGGGCTTGTATTATGAGATGCCATTGAGGCCGTAACGTTGCCTGCTGTGGGCCGGTTCTGGTTGGGTTCATCGAAGCGTATTGCGCGACTTGCGGTCGATGGGTTTGGCTTTGGTTGCCAATTTGGGAACAGCCGATCATTAATGGGCGAGAGATATGCAGGCGAAGCAGTTCCGGGTATCTGGAAATCGCGCGGCGCACCCGTCATCGATGTGCGCGGCAATTGTCCAGACTCAGGAACTGGGGCCGGTACGAATTTCGACGTATAATGCCGTTCGAGATCCGCCAACCGAGCCCAAGTTTCGCGCTGCAATGCCTTCGCAATGAACGTCGCGAAATTCTGTTTTAAATCGTCGAGTTGGTTCGCCGTGTCGAACCCGAACTCGACTGAGAACTCTTCCAGTTCTGTTTGCGACCGGCTATAAATCCAGCCGGTTCCCACCCCAGGGTTTCTAGTGACTACTGGAACGTACTCACCCTGAATTTCTGGATTCATCTTTGTTCACTTTCTTTTCTTACTGTCTTCTTATTGCTGGTGGATGGTTTTGTTTTAATGGATTTATTTGCATGTGTCTTTGTATCGTTGTATTGTTTCAATGTAAAAATTCACTTTTTTCTTCCTTTTTTTTTTTAAATTTATTTATTTATTTTGTTCCAGCTATTGTTTATTGTTGTTCAGGTTTTGTTCACAGTTAAAAAAAAACCAAAAAAATAAAATACAAAATAACCATGGAGGCAATGTGACGAACTGGATCGGCTCACTGGTTCGTCTGTCAAGTGACATGGCACATCACTGACGACCCTGCACATCACTGATGACGTCACTGCCTCTATGCACTTTTCGCTTGCACATTTGGCTTTTATTTTGTCACTGCCGCTTTTGTTGTTGTTTTACGCTCACTGTGCTGCGTTTGTTTTGTTGTAAATTTTTATTCACTGTTCTTATATTGTTGCTTTCGTTGTAATATTATTGCTTGGTGTTCGCTGTTACTGCGTATTGTCACTACAGTGTGTTGTTGGGTTTGTTTTGTTCACATAAAAAAACAAAAATAAAATTTTTCTTGTGTGATAATTTGCACTGGGTAGATCTTTGTTGGTATCAAAAAAATATGTAAAAAAAAAGTTTCATGTTTCATGTTTTCTCACTGTGTTCACTGTACTGCTTTGCTTGTTTTATTTTTTTTTTTCACTGTGTATCGTCCACTTTATTGGACCGCTCGTTGTTGGATTTATATATTTTAATTATATATTTAAATTATTTCACTGTGTCAGTTTTGCTTTCTCACTATGTCTTGCTCGTTGTTGTTGTTATTTTGGCACCGTATATAAATGTTCACTGCTCTGCTTCGGTCATTGCTTGTTTCACTTAATTTTTTCTTAGCGCTGCTCGTTGCGCGACGGCGGCGTCAAGAGAGCGCGAGCGGGATCGAGAGAGAATACAGCCGGTGCTGCGCTGCTCAGCTCGTGTCGCGAGCCGTTAGGTCGAGCAAAGCAGCGAGAGCGCCGGTTGTTGGATTTGCTTGTATTTGCTTGTGTGTTTGTACGTGTGTTTGTACGTGTGTTAAGCCGTTGCTTGGGCTTCTGTATGTGCATTAAATTTGGCATGTGCCAAATTTCCTATGGTGCGACTTCTATGATAATTTCCTAACCTACAGTGGCATCGAATATGGGACTTTAATCCATTTTTCCCTTGATTTTCTTTCAGCGTTGTCACAGGGTCCCTGCTCGGGCGCCACTTGTAAAGAAGTTTTATTTCCAGCTGGGGTATAACTCAGCTGTCCAGGGTTCATTTACAAGAAAATTTATAATTGTGACGGGACCATGCGACAAGAGGGACTCGATGCACACTGTAGGGTGTCAGTCGCCTTGCGGCCGGTAGTTTTGGCGTTATGTCTGCATGCTCATGCGCTGCAAACTAACCTCCAAAACTCCGTTGGTCGAGTGGACTATTTCATCTATCGCGGTTCATACACGCTATACATGAAATAGGCCCACTGTAGCCGCTGGTGCTGGAGAATGCGGGGCGGACTAGGGCTCGTTTTGACGTTATATTGCCGGCTCATACGCAACAATATAACAATCAACACTTGTTCGCTTTTTCAGTCACAACTTACATATATTCGGACTCGAGCCTGGTATATATGTAAGTTGCGCTCATAGCGTGGGCGGATTTCTTAAATATTCTTAAGATTGCCTTTTATTCGGGATTTCGCTGCCATTGGCCCTACATTGCACCACGTTTATTGGCTGATTTCCAAAACTTACGTGGATTTGATCCTATGTCTCGCTGCTAACACACGTCTGGTCGTCTTGATGGTCGCCGAAGAAGAGAGCGAGCTTCCGTTTTCGTTTGCCCTTCTCGCCTTCGTTCGTGTGACCTAATTCTCTTTTTCTAAAATCCCTATACACGCGTGGGCGGTGATGCCAGCTCGTTTATTCTTCCCCTATTCAAAAGATCTTTGCTGCGTAACCCTTTCTGTATGTAGTGTGGTGAAATATAATTGAAACTTACATCTAGTAGCATAGAAACTTCAATGTGAAACCTTAGATCTAATAACAGTAGTGGAACCTTAAGACTAGTAACAAAATTGGCACTATTCAAAACCGTGCAAGAAATGATACAAATAGAAAAATCTTAGAGCTAATACAATTTGTGACGCAGAACTTTACTGCGTTACAAAGCGTCGACCACTACTAAAACGTGGTTATATTGTTTCCTGGTCAACTCCATCGGTCCGATATGGTCGATATGATATGTTTGCAAAGGCTCATCAGATTTGTCGATTACATTCAAAAACCCTTCTTTCTTTCCAAATTTCGCGTCACTCACAATGCACTCTACACAAGACTTAACAATCCTATCTACTTTCCCTAACAACTCTGGAATAAAGTATTCTCGCTGCACTAAATCGGTAGTTCTTTTAACACCAAAATGCCCTTGACGATGAGCTGTCATTATGATTTCGTTTTCCATCCTGGTTGGTATTACAATCAATTCCTTAACTGGGTCCCTGTGCAAGATTTCATACTTCAAATAAAAGTCGTCGTAAGTACCGGACTCTAACACTTTACAAATTGCTGCTATCCACTCATCCTGACGCTGAGCTTGCTTTATTCGATGTCTTAGTGAATCTGCCAACAATAAACAATGCACTCTACTCAATGCATCGACGTGTTTCATTTTTGTCCCTGAACGATGCTCAATTTCATAATCGAAGTCCTGCAGAAATATGGCCCAACGAGATACCTTCACTGGAACATCTTGCTTCTTCATCGTTAACGCAAAAGCATTACAGTCAGTAACGATCTTTATCTTTCTACCAAGCAAATAAACTCTCCACTTCTTAAGAGCCTGCACTATAGCGAGTACTTCAAGCTCGTATGAAGGATACTTTTCTTCAGCTGGGGTTGTCTTACGACTCATATATTCTACCGGGTGGAGACTTTGGTCCTCCGAGTCCTTTTGTAAGAGTATGGCACCATACCCATACATACTTGCATCGCAATGAACTTCTGTATAGCCCTTCTGATCAAACAGTTTTAAAACAGGGGAACAGGATAAATAAACTTTTAACTGATTGAATGCTGCTAACTCTTCTTCGCCCATTTTGAAACAAACATCCTTCTTCATCAGATTTGTCAGTGGTCTGGCAACGACAGCAAAATCCTTAACAAATCTACGGAAATAAGATGTGAGGCCCAAATAACGTTGAACTTGTTTCCGGTCTCTCGGAATTGGAAAGCTTTCAACTGCCGAAGTCTTCTCTTTAGATGGTCTTATTGTTGAATTTTCTATTATGTAGCCCAAAAAATTCACCTTGCGCTGTAACACCTGAGATTTTCCCCATTTAATGCGCAATCCTGAAATCTCTGCGAGGCACAATACCTTCTTTAACTTTCTGAGTCCTTCTTGCTCATCTTTTGATGGAATAATGATATCGTCCATATATAGGATCAATGTACCGTCGTCTATCAATGGTCTTAGAACAGCAAATATGTACCTCATAAAGACCGGGGGTGAATTAGAAATCCCGAATGGTACGTAATTAAATTCATATTGTCCACTTTGTGTGACGAAAGAAGTATATTTACGAGAATCCTCATGTACCGGGACATGAAAGAAACCATTAGACAAGTCCAATGTAGTGAAAATACGTCCTTCTTGAAGTTTGAGCAAAACATCATCAATTAACACCATTGGAAAATTGTCGCGAATTATCTTCTCATTAAGTTTTCTATAATCGCAGCAAAGTCTTTTTGAGCCATCCTTCTTGGCGACAAGCACCACAGGGGAAGCGTATTCGGACACACTATGTCGAATTATCCCCTCCTTTAACCAATCCCTGATCTGCCTATCGACTTTCTCATTGTCCACGACAGGTAAACGTCTAGGTCTTTGACGGACTGGTACTTCATCTGACAATATTATTTTCATTTCGACAGGGCTTCTTTCTGGTTTTACTGGGCTATAATTTTCTACCAATCTCCCTATTTTTGACTTCATATCACGGTTCAAATGCGACAGCTCTATTCCTCGTGAAAACTCTTCGATAACATTGGTAGACAGTATTTGACGGAACGCATTTTCCAAATCATTTATTGAACTCGCTGATTCTGAAGGCCTGGTCCCTTGAGTATCACTATGTTGAGTGAACTCTAAGTCACGGCTTCCCTTTGCCAAACTACTGCTAATTGCTTTTTCCGATGAACTGATTCCTTCCATAACCTGGCACCCTTCACTTGTCGAATGAAAGAACACTCCTTTTTTTCCTATGCTCGCACTGACAAAATCGAGAACATCACTTCCGATCACACCTTCGTACAGCGTATCATCGTCACGGACTATGTGAAAACACATTTCCAAAGGAGCATCATCCAACTTAGTGACCACATTAAACGAACCCAATGTATAGATTTTCTTGCCTCCTATTCCGATCAATTCTTTTACATCATTTTTCAACGCAACTGGGAAAATCTTTCTGTAAACTTTCTCGCTCATCGTACAAATATCGCTGCCAGAATCAAACAATGCAGTGATCTCTATATTACCGATGGCAACATTTTTAAAAGCCCGATTGAAACTGGTCTGAGAAAATTGCTGGACATTCGACATTTTCTTCTCCCTTTCCATTCTTGGACCTTTTGCTTCGCATTGATTTGCCTTGTGGCCTAGCTGATTGCAATTGAAACACTTGACGGCATTTTCTTTGCAATCCTTTGCAATATGGTTGTTACCTCCACATTTGAAACAACGCCTATTGTCCTTGATTTGAATCGAACTATTCTCAAATTTTGATTTTGTCTTTAGTGTACTTCCTTGATTCGAACTGATCTTTTCATAAATTTTAAGTTGCTCACGAAACTCCTTGAAATTGTTTGCTTGGTATAAGCAGCTCTTGTTTTGCTTGGTATCTTGAATGCCTTCAATAATATATTCAATAATGCTTTCTTCATCTAACTGGGATTGACTTGCCAAAGTACACATACTATAGAAAT